TTTGTACCGATTCATTTTGTTCGATATAAATAATCGTGTAAGGAAGGTAACTGTTTCCTCTCTTTTTAGGACTATCTAGACCCCCGTAGCCGCCGCTGCCGTAAAGAACCTTGGGGCTGTTGGGTAGTGCTCTATAATAATCGCCAACCGCCAAAAACTTGCCCTTATTAAAGCTATACGAGTTACCCAAACCGTTAGATATTGTGTCTCTCGTCTGTTTAAAAGACTTGTTTTGATCTATGCCAAACAACAAACAGATATCGTTAAATGCTCTATGATTATAACTGTTGTCTAGAACGTTAAATGTGTCATCTCCCGGTAAAGGAGCGGCAAGGTCATACAGGATCTTTCTAACCGTAAAATATAAATGAAAGTTAAAGATGGCCCAAACGTAACGGTTGCTCGCGTTTAAAAGATCAAATCCAACACCGCAGCCCGTAGTAGCGCAATAGATCGCAAAATTTAACTGATTTTGATAAAACGACATGGGGTGTGATTTCCAACGATCTACATCCTCATCCGTCTCAACGTGAGGCAATTTATAGTCTGAGGTTAAGTCGGGAAACGAGCTTAAAAACCCGTTGGTATTATTAACTATAACTTCCAGTTCACTGGGTTTAGTGCTGTTTAAAAACTTTGCTTGGGACGCAGCTTGATGCTTTGGCTCGGTTGCCTTGGCTACATTTTGATTTACTTGTTTCGCTACCTGATCAGCTATCGATTGTATCTGCTTTTTTAACAACATAAAAGCAGCCATTATTTTAGTTTCAGTTTTAATATAAAAAGACTTTAAAATAAATGCATTCGTTTCACTTGTTTCAAAATGAGCAGACGTTTAAATTAGAAGACGTCGTAGATAATTTAAACGGTCAAAAATCTGTACGCGTAAAAAGGGTGATGTTTAACCCCGGATATTTTAATATTTCCAGCGCCACGGAGATTGATTGGTATACGCAAATAGATGGGAGACCCGCTGAAAGACCTGATGATGGTATAAGACCCGAACTGGTTAACCCAGATGTAGAAGTAAGAACAGATAGAGATTTTATTGTGCAATTGGTACCCGAGTACCCCTACGACTTTTTAATTAACGACGAAAATACTTTCAATAGAGTTATAAACGATCTTATAGAAGCGTACGAAGAAGATAGACTAGACTCTGCTTTAGAATCGATCCGAGAAGAAATGGATCAAATTGTAGGTGGTATAAGAATGTTAAGCTTTAAAAGACAAGACAAAACACTAACCGAAGAACAAAGCAATACGCTTAAATTTTTAATAACACTTATAGCAGAAAGAAGAGGCTTCATCTTTGAAGGTAAAAAGATAGCGCTAGAATATATCCAAGGTATAATAAGCGAACCTAGGGTAAGAATTATTAGACAAACTGGTGTGACAATACGTGGGAGTCTTGTCGTGTCTGGTGATAATTTAGATTTTATTTCTCCGAGTCTTTTAGCGCCGTTACCAGCTGGAGTCACCGGTTCGGTCACCATACCACCAGGGTGGTACGACGTCGATTGGTTCGATTTCATTTTAAATTATATACCCGGGGTAAGTTTTCGAATATTTAGAGAATCTAAAAAGGTGACGTTGGTGGTAACCGACGTCAATCTCAAATTGCGCTTAAACAGAGAAGTCTCTCGATTACTCAATTTACCCAAGGGAAGACTGATACCCAAAGTGGTATATACGGGGTCTTACGACGTTAATCCGTTTAAATTTTTGTTTATTCGCTGCCCGCAATTAAGTACGAGTGAAAACTTTTTTGATGGCCGTCCGTCTGACATCTTAAAAATCGTACCCGTGGGTACGCGCAAACCCGAGCCTGATAGAGTCGAGGATTTCAAGAAACTTAAAAACGGTATAATCGACAAACTGACATTTTCAATCATAGGTGAAAAAGGACAGATCATCAACAACAAGGGTGTGAGTATCATGATCGAGTTGGAGATCTTTTAATTTTAAAATCTTTTTATATTAAAAACATGAGTGTAGATGGTAAGGCGTTATACCCTGATATTTCTGGAGATGTACTCCGATTAAATAGTAACGAAGAAACAAAAGTGTACAGACTTAAAAAGATTGAAGAGATTCGATCTTTAATCTTAAAAGAGAGAGACCACCGAGAGCACACTTATAAAAAAATAAAGAGAGTGATCGACACTATTAATTACGTAGAGATAGGATTAGAAGGATTGGGGGCTATAGCGGGGGCTGTCGGTATTCCCGCTCTCTTGGGTGTTATATCAACCCCCGTTGGATTGGTGTTAGAAGGAACGTTTATAGGCGCTTTTGGTGTAGATATTTTGCTTAGAATCGCGTCTAGGCGATTATCCGCCAAGCTGAAAAAGCACGACCAGATTAAAATATTAGCAGACTCCAAACTTAACACGATTGAAGAATACGTGTCTCAAGCCATCAACGACGGAGATATATCACACGAAGAGTTCTTATTGATTACGAGAGAGCTCGCCAAATTTAACGAGCTTAAGCAGAAAATTAGAACAAAAACCAGCACAAAGCTTCAAAAAATTAAAAACGATACAGACTTTGAAAAAGAAGTTAAAAAACGGGTAGACGAACGGCTGGCAAAAGAAAAAAAATCTCTTATCGAAAAACTTACAAGTTCAAATTCTCGGTAAATAAACATTATGAAAGCGAACCACCGAGTTATACCTCTATTTCACCTCTTAGGGCTACGCCCTCGGCCCCGCCTTTATTGTAGTGGTCATCGTATATTTTTAGTGCTTTATTAAATTGATTTTGAGTCACTTTAAATAAATCTCTAACTCGTTCTTTGTCTAATCCAACGACGTGATGATAACACGCCGCTATTAATGACCGTTTGACGCAACCATTTCCCCTCAATGTTTTGTAATTAACGAGCTCGTTATATTTATTGATTGTTTCTTGGACATCTTCTGAGTCTTGCTCTGGACAAACAGACAAAATAAGTTTCTCCACAGTTTTTCTTTTGTTTCTCTTTAAAGTTGACCAATTGATACGATCTTCTTGCACATTTTCTGCCGAAAAATCAAAATAACGTGAAACTATTTCACCGCACGTTTCACAAATTAAAAAACCATTCTCGATGATTATATGATGATCGCACTGATCTCCAAGTTGTGACGTCACAAAGTATTCCATCTATTTAATAAAAACCGATATTATTTTTTATTCATTTTTCAAATACTCGTCGGTCTAAACATATTACTCTCCATTTTTATATTAAAAAACAGCTCCTCACCTTTTACAGGGTAAGGAGCTAATTTTTTTCTTTCTCTCACTCTCTCTCCGTTAGATTTATTTTTTTTATTTTTTTTTTTTTTCTTGAGATCGGGGGATTTCCCATTGGCCCTGTACTACCCACAGACCTATGACAAAGTCTGGTACCCAGACTTCTCATTAATGGCCCTGTACTACCCACAGACCTATGACAAAGTCCAGCACCCCCGCCTCCCTTACTACTAAATCTATCCCCAGAAATCAAGCTCTCACGGGAAAGGCCCCTGATGCCATGGCCAAACCCATGATTCCCTTGGTTACCACGTTTCACCCCAATCTCCCTCCCCTCCGCAAAATCACTAATGACAATCATCATATCCTCCATACTTCAGATCGCCTTGCCCGCGCCATCCCCAACGGCCCCACATTGGCTTACAGGCGTCCTCGAAATCTACGGGACTTGATTGTTCGAGCTGAAGTCCCATCCTTAGATGCATCCCCTCCCACCCAGCATGGTACTTTCAAGTGCAGTTCCAGATGTGTTGTCTGCCAGATTCATATCCAGGAGTCTGACTCCTTTTCTGGCCACTCTTCTGTCACTACCCACAGAACCATTGGTAACATCACTTGTAACACCTCTAATGTCATATATCTCATTTCTTGCAGGGTCTGTGGAGTGCAGTATGTAGGTGAGACTAAGAATACGCTCAAGAAGCGTTTCTATGCCCATCGGTCAACGGTCAACACCAAGAAACTAGACACCCCTGTTGGTCATCACTTCAACCTGCCTAACCACTCCATTTCTGATATGATTTTGCAGGGCATTGAATCTCTTGGCCATCGCAAAGAGTCAGTTCGCCTCAGCAGAGAGAAGGTGTGGATGAATCGTCTTCGAACTATTCAACCACATGGTCTCAACATCCAACTTGGAAATGATTAATCCTTTTCTTCCTCCATTGTCCTCTGTTACAGATAATCCATCTGGTCTTCCTTGTTTGTGTTTACACATCTCCCGCCATCTTTCATCCCTTTCCACCTCAATACTGTCCCCCCCCCCCCCCCCCGCATCATCCCTTCACTCTCACACTCTTTTGTCCGTTCCCACTCCCTGTGACCTTTGATCCTTCCCCTTTCTGGTCCCTCCCCTGTTTACACCAGACCCCTTGTGGTTTGCCATCTCCCTTTGTTTCTTTGTTCTCTCATCCACCCTCCCCTGCATCTTTCCACACCTTTCCCTCCTAATCCTCCTTTTGTGTTTCTTCTTTCAGCCCTGCATGTTTGTGTGCACCCCCATGTGAATGTATGTATCTCTGTCATTTCTGTTTTAGCCTCTGAAGAAGAACTTGCTAAGTTCGCAACGTCAGGCCACATTAATTTTAGATTTATATATTTCAGGTCCATCCAGTCAGTAAGCAGTTTGCAGCAGTTTTACTTTTTTTCAAGATAATTAATAATGAGTCTACCTTTCTTACACTCTTTTGTCCGTTCCCACTCCCTGTGACCTTTGATCCTTCCCCTTTCTGGTCCCTCCCCTGTTTACACAAGACCCCTTGTGGTTTGGCATCTCCCTTTGTTTCTTTGTTCTCTCATCCACCCTCCCCTGCATCTTTCCACACCTTTCACACCTAATCCTCCTTTTGTGTTTCTTCTTTCAGCCCTGCATCTTTGTGTGCACCCCCATGTTAATGTATGTACCTCTGTCATTTCTGTTTTAGCCTCTGAAGAAGAACTTGCTAAGTTCGCAACGTCAGGCCACATTAATTTAAAGATTTCTTACATGTTGTTTGTATGTAAGACCAATTTTGTAAAATAAGACCAATTACTGATTATTGACATAAATCACTAGGCTCGACCTTATGGCATAAAATACATTCATAGTTCATATTTCAATATAATCTAAGAGTACACACAAAGACAGTTAAGTTGTGTCCATATGCATTCCTCTGTATGCGTACATTACACAATTTTTGTCTGCTGTGATGTATGTTTTTAAGTGCAAACTTTTCTCACAAATCATTCAGTGAGCAAATTATGGGTTCACAATATGAACAGAAAACCCCTAAACTGAACAGTGTCTTCCTGAAATGACATCACACCAACAGCTCCCTCAGTTGTCCACAAAACCATGGACAATTTATAAATGTTTAAAGAATGCACTTTTCAATAAAATCAACCAAAATATATGTCCAATAGTTTTCATACATTAAAGAGTAGAAAGCTGCACAAAATGTGTTCCTAGAAAAAAAAACATCACATAAAGCCTTTAAGGGTGCAGTGGGCCATATCACAACAGACGACAATTACTTTGTTATACCATGATTGTATTTTTTATCAAAACATTTTTGAGTTTTTAACCAGTTCACGCCAGGATTTTTTTGACAAAAATAGAACGAGGCCCGTGATTATTTTTCACTTGACCTCAATGCCAGGCGGGTTGAAGCCATCACCCTGAGGCAGCACACTGATATTTCTAGCCTCGCTCACTGCGAGCGGGTCGCTGACAGATATTTCCAGCCTCGCTCCCTGTGTAGTTATCCGTCATCCCTTGAAGCTATCACCCTCGGGCAGCACACCCATATTTCAGGCCTCGCTCACTCGCTGTGAGCGGGTCGCCCCCTGCGTGTTTATATAACATCCGTTACGGATACCGCAAAACAATTGCAGGTATACACAACAACATCCGGCGCGAACTGGTTAAGAAGTTACAATATAACTAAAATGTGATTTTCGTAAAGGCAGGATTTTTACTTCTGTTTTGACACCCGAAGCATAGTGATTGAAGATTCTAATGCTTCTGTGTTTGATTAGAATATAATGTTTGCACATCTGCAGTGACACGCATAGTTCGCGTTGTTGACATCATGCACATTCTAGAGGAACAAAACTTATCTTGTGGCTTTTGCACTCAAGATTCGCCTCGGGTGCAATGGGACCCTCGGGTGTTAAAAACGCCATATCCCACATCACGGCAGTCAACAATTGTTTAATGGAAACTTTAAAAATAGTACAATAATTATTCCACACACGGCTGAATCCACAAAAATGAAGTTTTGGATTATTTCACTTTCTGCCGTTTTAACTTCCGTTCCTTGAACTGGTCTGTCTTGTTCTTGACGGATTTGATGAGCATCGACAGTTCGGCATCTCGCTTGACCAACTTTGAGGCTTTGGGTGTGGTCTCGGGTGTGGCTCTGGGTGTGGTCACCACGCCCTGTCTCTCCTCTTCCTTCAGTCTCCTTTTCTGTCGTTCAGCGAGCAGGGCCTCGGTGGCCTTGGTCTTCTTGAAGTGCGGGTCCGACGGGTCCACGGCGTACAGATGAGAGGTGAACATCGCCTGGAAGCGATTGTCGCCCACGTCAATCTGGAAATCATCCTCGTATTTTGTGGCCTCCTCCTGCTGCTGTTGTCGCCTCTTCTTTCGCTTGGCCTTCTTGCTCAGGGTCTTCTCATTCTCCATGATCTGCTTGAGATTGAAGTGTTTCTTGCCGTCGCTGTCCTCGTCCATGAACAGCAACTCAAGCTCAGACTGTGATGATTAAAATACAAAGAAACTTTCAAAATAGTTCAGCTGGTTTTTACCGTACTGCAAATGAGTAGTAAAAACTTAAAGTGAAGCAAGTAAATTCAATGTTATTTAAATTGATGGAATACAGGTAACTACAGAGCCTTAAAGATATGACCAGCAACCACCCACCTCTTTCCAAAAAAAAAAGAGAGAAGGGAACAAACAAAAAAATTCCCTTGGGCCAAAATTCTTTCGGTGCCGTGTAGTGTTGGTCCAAAATTGGATTGTGATATGTGCTATCAAGCTGCCATGGTGGAAGTGGGCACTATCAACAACATAAATCCAATCCAGGCTAGGGAACGTTGGCAGGGTGACCCAAGAAAGTCTGAGCATACCTCAATGCAGTGCGCATGAGGCATGCTTGGAATGTCCTGGGTCCGATTCATAGTATTGACAGCGCCCTCTGACCACCACGGCACCTTGACCGCATTTGCAAAGGATTGGGACCAGCTACAGTAGGAAAACAAAATTGGAGTCTAGGACCAAGACCAGGAGCCATGTTAATTCCTCACAAAAAGAAGCCCATGGGCCTTATTCACAAGTTGGCCATTTTTGTCGAGTTCCCTGAATACATTTCATTAATTGTTAACTGTTGAATAGGATGGCGCCAGACTATTCATGCAGGCACAATGCAGCCTTATTTTACTGTCATTTTTTTTTAATCTATCTTTAAACATTAGTGAATGTTTAATTACACATTTTAAATTATTCATTGAAGCAGACTGGAATTTATTATAAATTAAGTTGCTTTCATTTCTCTTCGCAAGATCCAAAAATTAAGATTTTACCTAACTTTCAATTCAATATGGCCGACTCGTGAATAAGGCCCAATGGTGTTTGGAGTAAAATGTAATAAAAGAACAATATTAATGAAACGGCTTTTCCCTCTCTCCTACCACTGTTTCACTGACATAAGGGGAGCTACAAGTTGCATCTTATTTACCTTGTTCTGCTGGACTTTGTCTTTGTCTTCCTCCCCGACAGTTTCCTCTTTTCTACCTTTTGTCTTCTTTTTCTTCTTGGAACCTGTGAAGAAAAAACATAGGTATTTGATTCCCTTGATACCGTGTTGCTAAAAATGCGCTACTATGGAGAAATCCTATGGCACATTCTGTGACTGGATCCCGCCTACAATCTTCTTCAGACTAGACTGACTGACCGACTGACTGTCACTTGTGAATAAGCCTTTTCACGGATACCGCCATCTTTGAAATTTGGGGGACATTACAATGAAAAGACATCCCATCATGCTCAGCCAGAGTTGTAATGACTCGAGTCAATGACTCGACTTGAGTCCGACTCGAGTCACGTTTTTTGGCGACTCGACTCGACTCGAGTCCCGACGGGTAAATGACTCGACTCGACTCGAGTCACTGCGAGCAAATGACTCGACTCGACTCGAGTCCCTCATCAGAATGACTCGACTCGACTCGAGGAAGGCTAATAAGACTCGAGTCCCAAAATAAAAGCAAAACTTACTTGCGAAAAATATTTGCAATGACTTACGCTGCGCCGTTCGCGTTGCCAGTTTTTGTTCACGTCACGTTAATGTTCGCGAATAATGTACGTTTATATACAGCGGCAGTCTGTTTCCTTCCTCCATAATGAAACAACAAACATACACCGTGTCGCGGACTCCCTCCTTGTGGTTCTATAGCATGTAATGCTAAACCCGGAACCAGACTTAAAACGCATTTCTCAATCCGTGGTTTCATCATTGGTTTCGGGCGATTTTGAAGTTCTTGGTGGAACGCTGGCTAAATTCATGTCCCGATTTCACACAAAAAAATGGATACGGACGGGCCCACCTTTAAATAATCAGAAACAGTTGTGTATAATGCAATTAGGTTTTAACGTTGTCAGCGATCAGCGAACAACAAAATCTAGACCCGAAGCCAAACCAGTTATAAGACCGAAGTTTCACATCTTCTTTTCTGTGACGTGAGCTAGCAATGGAAACTGTTGGTTGGGTACCATACAGCATACTTTATGTCTTTGGATTTCCGTAATAGACTGGTGCCTTGTATTCTTTCTCTCTTGTGTTGTTGCTTTTTATTGTAATTTAGTGTTCAAATATTTGTGACTCGAATTGACTCGATCTAAATACTTGACTCGACTCGACTCGACTCGACTCGACCACACTCTGTGACTCGACTCGACTCGACTCGACCTTGTTGACCTAATGACTCGACTCGACTCGAGTCACTTCTTTAAAATGACTCGACTCGACTCGAGTCACAAAAATCAGTGACTCGTTACAACTCTGTGCTCAGCTACAGTTGCAGGTACCTTAGGTCCTATGCTGCCGACAGTAAGAAGGACTTCTTCACTTGCAAAGAAATAGCTTGGAGTGCCTGTAACAAGCTTCATAACATCCGGCAATCAAGTATAGCACAATCAACAAAGCTGGCCTTCTTCAGAGCCTGTGTGGAGAGCATTCTTCTCTATGGAGCCGACACCTGGACCATGAAGAAGGAGCATGGCACATACATGTACACCATGTTCTTAATGAGGGTCAGAACATCTCATGGCGTGAGCACAGGACCAAAGAACAGATTTACGGAGACGTTCCACCTATCTCTGCTATTGTTTCTCAACGACGAGTTCGCTTTGCTGGCCACTGCTACCGTGCTGTAAACCAGGTCATATCTCATGTATTATGTTGGAGACTTCCATGCCCTAATAGAGGACCAAGACCTTTCAACTACATTGATGTGATTGGTAGAGACACCCAATGTGAAATGGAAGACCTTCCGTACATAATGAGGGATAAATACACCTGGCGTGGCGTTGTAAACGAGATCTCGGTTGTGACCGCTTGATGATGATGATGATGAAAGTTGCATGATGGGACGTATTTTCATTGTAATGCCCCCAAATTTCAAAGATGGCGGTATCCGCAAAACGGCTTACTAGACTTGCATAAGCGCAACCCTAGCTTAAAAAATTGAGTCAGATGACAAACTAGACCAACAGCACCTTCCTCCAAAAACTTCCTTAAAGATTTTAAATGGTTGTTGTGCAAAAGAATCTAGTTGCATTTTATATAATCTCCTCTCACCCCCTGCCCCGGTGCCCCCTTCCCCCCCCCCCCCAAAAAAAAAAATTGTCATCAGTGCTGAGCCCTCTGGTTAGTTTTAGCCACCAAGTTGAGTCTCAAAAACTACCGAAATATACAAGATTCAGAATGTGAGCTGGTTTGATGTTACCACTAAAGCAGAAAAAAATGAATTGTAGTCATACTGTGTGCCAATCGGAATGCAATGAAATTTTGACAGGTTTTCAATCTGATCATCTTCGCAGCACTAGTACAGGGCGAGTCAAAAAAAGCTGAACCCAAACCCCATAAAATATATTTCAGATTTAAAAAAATATATAGCACCAAAAATAATAATGACTGGAAGGCCAATTTCATAAGCTACTTTTAGATGAAAAAAAACCCACTGAAATTACTCAATCCGTTCAAAGAATATCACCATTTAGAAACATTGACCCTAAAACCTGTCTCGTCCATAAAAAGCAATTTATTGTGTGTTTTGACTGTTTGGAACAACAAGAAAATGACACAGAATACTTGTTTCAACATCTGTCACCAACAGTAGTACACCATATATTTATTAACAACCCTGATTAGTGAAACAATATGATTTATAAAATCTACTTTTTTAAAGGACGGGCCTTCAAAGGGATTCGGTTGAATATTTTTAACGTTTAAACTGAGATTTTATCGCTGGTGATGTTTGAAGACAATTGCGACGACGATTCTTGAAATTTTTGGACGAAACAGGTTTGGGGGTCATTGTGTTTAAACTGTGATATTTTCTGAACGGATTGACCAATTTCAGTCATTTTTTCATCTAAAAGTACCTTATGAAATTGGCCTTCCGTTCATTATTATTTTTGGTGCTACATATTTTTTAAAATAGGAAATATAGTTTTTGGGGTTTGGGTTCCGCTTTTTTTTTCTCACCCTGTATTTGCGTTCACACTAAAGCATATTTTGCATATATGTGTGAAATTTGAATCAGGATTTAGGAAATGGTTTAGTCATTTGTAAGGCGTTCTGGCAAAATGAGACAGAACTGGGCACAGGCCGTAGTGGAAAAGAAATGTAAAAAAGACCCGTGTTTTATCTCCCACTGTAGCCAAGTAATTCAGACACAGCCCAAGCAAATTGGCAAATTACAATATAATCTGACCTTTGACCCCATCCTCCTTCAGTGCGTCTTTGAAGAAAGGATCGTTCAAATCGACACCATCGGGAAGTTCATCATCACTGAAGGCGAGATCAGTGTTCTGATTGGTTCCCTCCATCTGTTCCTAGAAAGAAAAAGAAAAAACAGCCAATGGCATTCAGTTTGAAAAGTAAGGTTTTTCTTCGGGATAAAAGCATAAATGGAGACCATTTACACATCCAAATATTTACACACGGATACTTACAGTAATGCATAGGGCTGGTACTTAAGTGTGCGTCAATCCAACAAGGGAACAAGGGAATGGTACCTGGTTCTTTAGAGCCAGTTGTCAGTTCACTGACCATACTACATGTGGCATCGCACTAAAATAGGTTTCTAACTCTTTCCAACAAATGTATTGATGTACCAGTGTTGCAGTCGAATCCATCACAAGCCCCTAGAAGTCTTAACAATAATAATAATAATAATATCGGAGTCTTATATAGCGCACATTTCTACCAATTATTAGGTACTCAAGGCGCTGGAGATACCGGTATGTCTATTATTAAAGAAAGGTAAATAAAGTTCATGAGATATATGAGACCCATTATGTAGCACCTTATAAGGGTTGACAAGGTGCTGCGGCGCATATTGCAGCCACCATGCCAGAAACACCAGGGCAAACCCTTTCTCTTAGCGATAAATGTTACTGGGTTCTTTAACGTGCATTACGCAACACACGGGACCTACGGCTTTACGTCCCATCCAAAGGACGAAGCAATAATGGTAAAGTGCCTTGCTCAAGAGCACAAGCACCATGTTCCCACGGTCAGGATTTGAACCCATGTACCACGGCACACGAGTCGAACACCGTAACCATTGGACCACAGCGCCCCAAGTCCTAACAAGTCCATCACAAGTCCTCCAGTCCCAAGTCAAGTCTCAGGCTATTCAACTGAACTTTGACAAAGGCATTCCGTTGTTATTGTTCATCCACCCTTGATTTACTTGTGACTGGACTTGTGATGGACTCGGCTACAACACTAAGTACTGCAACTGAGTGCCATACAAGAAAATGAAGGCTCAATGTTCTGGTTTATGAAACATTTCTCTGTAATTAAAAAAAAAAAAAAACAATTTGAAAGATAATATAGGTTTGCTTTGACCCACACTTGGGAAAAAAGAAAACTGTATACATATCAAGCAAACAGCATCTTCTGACATATAAAGCTGCCCTAAGATCGACCTTGCGACGACATGGGCAATTCCACGGTTACTCACATTACATTTTCGTAACATGAGTAACCGATTTTGTGCGTCTTGTTGATCATACATAACACATTTTTCTGGATGTCATCTTTGGTGCTTAGGTAGGTCTAGGTCTACTCTATCTACCATGGGGATAACAGTTATTAGACCTTTTCAGTAAGGTAATTACAGCCCAAGGAAACTCAAAAGTACATCAAAAATGTAACGTGAGTAACCGTGGAATTGCCCCAATGGAACAGTCTGCGACTGGCTTTTCAGGATCTGCGCCTGAGCTACGACCGTCGGGAACAAATCAGTCGCTGATTTTTTTGCGACCTGAGTGAAACTGTGACAATATTAAGATGATCGGCATCAGTTGGCGCTAAAAAAAACCCAACAGTCGCAAGAGTAGATATATTTCAACTTCTGCAATGCGACGGAATGCTTTCCAAACAGGCAGTCGGGAAGGAACCAATCGCAGTTGGCCTGTGTTCAGTTAGAACGTCATGCTTCATCTACTTATACTGTGAATCGTCGTCGCGTCCCGGGTAACGTGAGCATGGTTGTGATTATTCTGTACCCAGATGATGCTTGTTCTAAGAAAATGACATGATTTCTCAGTTTTGTGACCTGAGCATGACTTTTGTGCTTGATGCCGAGATCACCATCACAAGTGGACCTGTGGGCGGCTTAAAGGCACTGCGTTTCTTCACCCTAACTGAACTCAACCCATCAAAGCCCAACAGCAGGTTTTCTTGAAATCTGTTAGGATGGGTACACAGTACCCCTAAACTGATGGTCTTTTACATTAGGTTTGGCCTACCCTCAGAAACTAAGTCCAACAGTGTGTGTGTACAATTTCCCATGTGGGCGTTGGAATTTGCCAGGATGGGTACGACTCCTAGTAAAAATGCTAAGGAGTTAGGGTTTCACACAAATCATTGTTGTTCCAATGCAAATTGTCTAATTTCGCAGTACATTTGTTCTTCTACCAGGAACTTTTCAAATGTTTTCTTTACCTCTGTCTTCTTTCCTTTTTGTTTCTTCTTCTTCTCCTTCTTCTTTTCTAGGAATTTTTCCCAAGGTGTGGCCTCTGCCGTTCTCTCTGACTTTTTCTTCACGAGTTCCTCTGCTGTGTCTTTTAAACCTGTTGGGTTGCAAACAAATAGTAATCAATATTAATTAGCCCTCCTTATTAATTAACACGTACACATACATGCATCTTGTTGTGATTAATCATGTACTGTAGGCCATGGAATTATTTTTTTTTTAAATAATTAATTTAAGGCCAAACAAAATAATAAGTCGGTCTCTGGTCAGCGCGCGCGTCGATTTTAATCATGCGCGTCAATCTCTTTTTTTTCCCAAAATGTTCCGCGGTAGCTCCAACAGCGCCCTCTGTTGACGCACCTCCTCAATTTTTTTTTACCAAAGAGCACCAAGGAATGGGAAATTGCACCAAGGCAAATGATCAAGAGCACCAAGGCAAATTATGGAGGACACCAATGTACATGAGGACACCAAACAAGCAAAATAGTACCCCACCTTGTCTGTACAATCCAAGCTTGAAGAAAAAAAAAAAAAAGCAAAAAAAAAAAAAAAGCCTCGTCGCCGTGTCAATTACGGAACTTTGGTCTGACCAGAGACCGAATATTTTATTTTTTTGGGCCTAAAAAAAAAACATTCTTATTTTTTTTAATTAAGTTTGTTTTACTGTCTGCATATGTTTGTTAAAGTCAAATAAATAATAACAATAATAACATGTGCGCATATTTTTCTGAGATGCATGCTGATTTTTTGCTATCGATGTTGAGTTTCAAGTTCGTATGTTTTTACACACATTTAGGGCCACCGTATGCGATAGAAATATCCCGCCAACATACCTTGCAAACGCATGCTGATTTATCTTTTCAGGACGTTGTGAAAAACTCAACTCTATTACCAATTCTTCCAACCACACTCTTCCATGATCAACATCTCGCACTGATGGGTCTCATCCCGGCAATCGTCACTGAAAAGTACTCAGTACACACACCCAGACTTGTTTCACATACCTAGTGTGGACTTTCCTTTCTTTTCGTGTAGTTAAGGAACACCAGTGGAAAAACTCATTTTTCTCAAACTGTGAAAACTCTTACAACCCAATTTTTTTTCAATGATTCCCTTTAGTGTTTCTCTTCATTCTGCTACGGATAAACCTAACCCAAAAATGCCTCTAAACCTGTTTTCCAGAAATGGGGAAACACTGTGTGGACGTGGGCAAGTCCACACTTCGTCGCTGCTACCTACATTATGTGGACGTCTTTTGTTCTGAAGTCCACACTGCGTATGTAAGACAAGCTCACCCACACAAACGAGGTGCACACACACACACACGTACACCATTGAAAAATATTTTTAGTCTGGTCCTCAAGTACTCCACTGCGCACACCGCATTGATGTCTATTAGGTGCTTGACCCCATTGCTTATTAGACTTGTCACCAGTCCACCCATTATCATAAGTTAGGGCCTACATTTCGCTAGACGTTTTTGGGCAAAAACAATACTTAACAAGTATTTTTTTGTTAGGTAGAAAATGGGAAATTTGTAATATTTTAGTGGCAATTCGTATTTTCATAATTTAACAAAAAAATTGTAATAATTACGAAATTTTTTTAATAGTTGGCAGCTTTGCATATTTTCAAGCAAGCACTGTGCTTTGAGACCTTTGGTATAAGGCGCCACATCATTATTAATATGTTTTTTCATAGTTTACTGCTCCGGCTATGCATAGTTAAGATAGGGCTTTAACACGGTCAGCATATGCAAATGGTTTTTCCCCGTGTTTTGTTTTGAATATGCAAATGACCTACCTGGTTCCCATGTGATCTCCATCTCCATCTGTTTATCGTTCTCTGTCTGACGGTCGGTGTCCGCTTCCCTCAGGAGTGCCCGGTACTTGGCAATCTGTTGGTCCTCGCTCAGTGATGCGCTGTGTTCCTGGGCCTCCTCTTCCTTTCGTCTCCCGCCTGCCTTGTCGTCAAAATCAAGCTCCCATCGTTCTTTCAAAAAAATGAGAGAAAAAAATATCATGAGACATAGGCGTGTGCCGACTAATCGCCAATGCTTAATTGCAATGGTGGTCAAGACTATCAATTTCTAAAAAGTCGACTAGTCATTATGCCACGACTAGTCGTTATGCCGTTACTAGTCACTCCGCTGTGCCGCGACTAGTGGTTGCCCAGTGACTTAGTTGTCGTATCCTGCTGCACTGTAAGTCAGAAACGACTACACAGTCCGTAAATAGTGCTTGTGTAATGCAGCACGCACTGACAGTCACACAGTGTGACTGCACCAACACACTGCACATGTATGCCCCGCTGTACATGTAATAATGGTGCACGTGTAGCACTCACACCTGACACTGACGAAAGATATAATGATTTTGGTTTTCCTGAAGTGAAACGCAAGCAAGTGCCGGAATACAATTCAGAGAAGAAAAAAAAACGCTTCAAAAGATTTGACACGAATTTAATCCATCTGTATACTTACCTGTATGGGCTTACACAAAATTTAATTAAAAACCTTTTTACTGGTGAAATTAAGATCAGTTTCAGTTCATAAAATGTACCGAGTGCGCGCATGCAGTGACAGGTGTCAGTTCGTGAAAACGAAATAAAGTGGTTATGTAAAATAGGTGCACCAGGCACTCACGAACAACTGAGTGTCAGTTCGTGGTGTCGGTGACGAAGTGTGTGCCTTAACCCTTTGCAGTGAGTAGATATATCGGCCAACATCTCATTCAAAAGCGCATAACTTTTATATTTCTAGAAAAAAAACAATTGAAAAACAAAATGTATTTTTCCTTGTGAAACTCGGACATAGCATAGATACAATAGTACTTTGTTATAGCCACAGATTCAGAAAAGTTTCCGTCGGTACCTTCACCGTCCTCATCGCTGGAAGAAGCCAGGAAAGCACTGACGTCCATGTCCTCCACGTTCTTCTTCTTGAAGGCCTCGGCGGTCTTGATGGCTCGCTGGTGGCTTGTCTCGTCCCAAGTCAGCTCCACGCGTGACTGATGCAGCGCGGAGGTGCGGAACTCCACGGGTTTGTAGAGAGAGGTGTCCGGTAGCTCCGTCGCCACTTCCTTGGGCTCATTATCAAACGCGACATCGTCGGGGATGAACCTGACAAGGGGGCCAGTGCAGAAATCAGGATAATCGTTATCTTTAGGACTCCATTCCTATACAGGGGTGTGAGTGACCACTGATAAAAATAGCTGAAAACAGCTGAAAAAGGTGTAAAAAAGCTGAATTTTGGAAATCTCCTATACTTTTGTACACAGCAAGTGAGGAGAAAAAGCTGAAATCCAAAACAAAAAAAGCTGAAATCAGCTAAAAAGCCGAGATTTCACACCCCTGCTATATAATGTTACCAAAACTCGCCAAAACAGCTGACTAAATGACACTCAAAAGTGGCATTCGGATATTTCTTGACACATCTGAACAGCTTGTAATGACACTTTCTGACTTTCAGCAGATTTGATTTTGTGGAAACAGGGCAGGGCTTTGATTTATGAGGGAAATTATGGGGTTAAAAAAGACGACGACAGCCAGAAAACACTCTCGACAACCAAGATGGCGACAGTGCAAAAAACTGCCAAAACTGGTGAGAATTTTACATGTTCTCCCCATGTCTGTTACAAAATGATAAAAAAATCCAGTGCCAAAGTAAAATATGAAGTTTCTCAAGGCTGCAAACCCTACTTTCGAAAACAAATACACATTCTGTAAAGAAGTTGCACAATTGTGCGGAAGAAAAAAGTATAGGTGTCCTAAAAGTAACCATTACCACGATCATATCAGCTGCAATCATAGAGCTGATTGGATGCTGTGCAAGAACAGCAGATGACCATTTTTAACCATTGAGGACGGACCACATTGTGTGCGCACACTGGTTTGTGTGCGCACAGCGTGAAGTACGCACAGGTAATTTTATTCTGAATGTGCACAACGCCATATTGTCTTCGCGTGAGCCTCAGGCGTCATTAGCAATGCATTTGAATGTCCCTCTCAGTGGTCTCTCCCAACTCTCCCTTTGTAACCGTTGAGGGGGCACTTGTGTACGGAGTCCTGCTGGACGATTCCTTGATGCACACAAACCAATGGGCAGCCAGAAAATGTCCCCCGCCATTATGTATGGATATTGCATATCTGCATTTGTATTTCAAACCAATGCAAATATGAAACTGAAACACCCAAAACTGAATTACACAATCAGTAATGAGTGAATCTTTGCTTAGGTCTCAATTCATATCCAGGATGAGTTCCAGACAAGTTGCTGACATTGTATCGGGTATAAGTTGCAGGATTCTAAACAACTTCCCTGCAATCTTCCCGCAATGAAGTTATCAGTATTGCTGAGTCAAGCAGTTGCTAATGAAAAGTTCCCTAAACATGTTTGAGACAAATGCAGAGCTTCTTCCGGACAAAGTGAATGATTCTACCCACAACTTGGACTTCATCTCTGATATGAATTGAGACAAGCCCTTACTATTGCAGGTCATCTTGTTGGTAGTTAGTGCCCTATAATGTTTTCCGGTCTTAGTAATTTTTTTACTTGTTTGCACATGTAAAAATCCACGACTAAGGATTCTGTGCTAACTGGCTAATCACAGAATATCTGTACTAGTATTGTCAGCACAAACTTGTGATCAGAAATGCACAATTCTTTGGTTAGCAGAGGTTGGCCACTGACATGCTACTAAAACAATTCGTGGTCAAACTTGGACACAGTGATCATATCCAAAGATGGCCTTCTACAATCACTAATTTCCCAGTCCAAGAACCACCGTTTTGGGGAGTTTGTTTTTTTGTCTTACCTGAGGTCCAGTTTAGTGGAACTGCTCTGATACTCCATGCCATCGCAGTGGTCATACAATGCAGCAGCTGTGCCAACGCTGTCACAGTCCACAACTGCATAGTAATATTTCAACCTGAAAGAGATGAGTATTTACAGAGCATTTCAGTTCTCCCTTTTGGGCTATATTTCAGCGTTTTTTCAACCCGTTTTCTTAAGTGTAATATATGCTATTCAGCCAGCAAATTCAATGCTCTTCACACAGAGTGCACTGAACAATACAGTCCCCATCAGCAACGACTCAAGAAAGGAACGATTTGTTTATCAGGAGATTAGATTGGAATTGATCCTTGGGGTGTGTGGCTGTTCATTTTTTTTCTATACTACTGAACATGCAGCAAACGTAGGGCATTATAGAGGACCAATTGTTCAAAAAAGTAACCTTATTCAAAAAGCTTACTTAGATTAACCCCATCCTTCCAAAATCCTCCTTGCAAAATGGAGGATTTTGCAAGATTTAAGGCTATATGGCAAAAAGGTGCGGCAAATTTGGAAGATGCACTGCGTTAAGGCCTTGGGCCGGACCTTGTGTTGTTTATGCTCAGCCGTACATAAATTTAAGCCTTGATTACACTTGAAATCCTCTGCACTGCTCCAGGATGTCACTGGCTCTGCCTGAACATACCGACAGTGATTGCTGGAGGATTTTGCGGCATTGAGGCAGTGGCCACCCCTCCACGGACCACATTCAAAAAATAATGGAGGATTTTGAGGCTGTATGTAATTTTTACATGGAGGCAGTTGGAGGATTTTGCAGGATTGAGGTTGCATCCTAGCATAAATGCCTAGGGAGTTAGGGTTAAAGAAAGTATTGGTATTAAACACCCTGTGACATTATTTGGTCTGGCTTGCAGTTATGTAGAAGAAATTCCTGCTGCCAACTTTGCAAAAGTTGAGCACTTTTCAACGTCAAATTCGTTTTGCATGTGTGTGAAATATGGATCTGCCCTAAGAAGGTACACTGACAAAGAAATTACTGAAACTGTGCTTTCAAAGAAGCACCACTTGAAACAGACTGAAACGTCTGACTGACCTCTGCAGCTGGTACTTCCTGAGTTTCTCTTGCAAGAGGTTGTCGTCATGACGATCGTCCCCTATCTCCTCACTCTTGCCTCCGTCCTCCACGAGTTCCGCTGGCCCTCTTGCATCCTCCTCTCGCATCTTCTCCAGACCGTACTCTGAGGGATAAATCTACCAAAAGGTGGAAATGGGGGTTAAGCGTGACAAAGTCCCGACACAAACTGGATCAAATTGCAACAATGTCACAACCGAGGCTCATGCTCAGCTAACCACAGAAATTGTGCACTTATCATGACCACCATACTGAGACAGATTACCGAACAAGATTCTCACTCCCAACTTATTGGCGGAGTAGATGAAGAACGTCATCTACCAAGATGGCGGACTTAGGCCCCTACCGGTACTTGTGTTAATAATGGTGTATAAATTGAAGCATTCATTCAGTGCAGGAGCAGTAACGATAAAAATAACATTGTACGTGGTTATAGTGTGGGCTTGTCAGCCTTGTCTTTGCCAATTTGTATAGCCATTTCAGGATTTCGATTATTTTCGTATTAATCCATTAATTGCCCCTTCTTTTCAATTGGCATTTTGACACGGCGGCTGCCATATTGAATTTTTGCCCAGCTGCACTCCACACGCACTTGGGCGTTCGTAATCGGCAACCCAAAAACACAGTTTGCGGGTCACTTGAGAACACGGTCTTGAACACACCCATGGTCACTGAGAACACTACACTGGCAATACAGTCGCTCCAGTGATTCATGGGTATTTTGATTCAGGAGTACACGTACCTTGACTGAGTGTATCACACCACCAGTTGGTTTGAATGAGTTGAATAACACCAGCAGATCATTTCCTGTCACCCTGTCCCAGTCCATGTTACACAGTGCCAGCCTGGCCGACTGGTCCCCACTGCGGGGGGCGTCGCGGTCCAGCTCCCCCCACTGGAGTTCCGGCCCTGCTTCCTCCCGATCGCTGCTCCCGTAATCAGAGTCCGAGTCGGAGTCGGAGTCCGAGGAACTCTCCATGTTCCCCTGGCCCCGGGCCAGATCCACCCTGAGGGGTAAGGACTGTTTTGCCGGGAGGTCAGCCCGTTTGGATCTGGAGGGTCTGTGGTCCTTGGAATCACCAGAATCCCGATCAGAATCATCATCAGTGTCATCTGCAAAGTTGCGGTAAATGCATTTTGTGTTTTACTACCAATCACTTTGTGTATCTTGGTGTATATTAGTGAGTGTATCTTGGTGTATATCAAACCCTAACCCTGCCAGACGCAACACAGTGCATTGGGCAGAAAAGTCTGGTGCACTTTGATTCAGCTATCAACACCAGTGCATAAATGGCCAATTGAGAACTTATCCCATTAAATGCCACAGTTGTATCCTGCTGCATTCAGTGACCACAGACTCTGAGGCAGTTTGGCCTTGAGACTTTTGACCTGATGGATCTTGCTACACTGGGCAGGCTTGTCACTTAGTCAAGTGTTGCATGTTGCTGCTTTTGGCTACCCAAAATACCCTGGAGGGTTAGGGTTTTACTATTAAGGCATTTTTTCGTGTTATTCTTAGATATTCTGGAAGACTGTCTGCCTTCATTTCTATGAGAGTTTTTACCTTCTTTTTTTGATTGCAAACAGGTGTAAAAATTTATCTAATGCAAAAACAGCTCTTTGTTTTCACTTAATTGATTGCCTCATTGGTGATCAACCAATACATACATAGATCAGGTTTCAGGCTGCTCGAGTAATGGAAAAAAAACAGAGTTTTGTGACTTATATAAAAATACCTTCATCGGTAGTGCCTTGCACAGGCCTTTTCTGGTGTTCGTCAGCTCCATCAACTTTACTTTTTGGTGCCAGCGTCTTCGGCTTCTCGACTCTTCTCTCCTTTCTTCTCCTCAGTTGATCCTTGAGTTTTTCTTTCCCTGAAAGTCTCCTTATTTTGGATGAGGCCTCTTTACCGACATCCTCACCAGAAGCAGACTGGGCAACTTCACCTTCTTCACTGCTCTCATCGTCCTCTGAGCTGGACAACTCGTAAAACTTCCGCAGGTTCTCGTTGGATGTCAGGTTAATGGGGCGCCCTCTCTTGTCCACGGTGTATTTCAGCTTGAAGTTGTCATCCTTGAACATTCCGTGGAAGCGCTTGTCAATTTTGACCTTGCGCGCCCGCTGGGAGATTTTCCGGAAGCGGGGGTCATGGCTGATGATGGCAAATCGATTGTCATCTTCTGCCTCCATCTTGTCACTGAAGAGTTTTCCTGAAAGAAAGATGATAAATGAAAAGAAAAACTAAATAAAGGCCAAGGCCTGTCTTCATTTGTCAACATACATGCCATTAGTTTACACAATCATGACTCCCATGATCTTTGTAGGCAGTGGATAAGCTATTTTCACTGAGAATTTCTCTGACTGATTATGATAATTAATACGCCATATCACCATATTGCAAGAGGAATCGAAGATGTCTACCGGCAAACTAACGTTGGAAAGAATGTTGCAACCTGACGCCACTTTTTTCTTCAAATACCATCTCAAAAGGTCAGTCATTGCAAAAATGTTGAAAAAAAAACATGAATCTGAGACTGAGAAACATTTCTAAATTTGTTAGGAAGACTCTCTATAGACTTTATACACAATCGCTAAAGTGGTGTCTGGATACTACATTCTTTTCCTAATATTCACAAACAGAAAGCTGGTGTGGCCGATGCATGAACATTGTAGCCCCATAAATGTGGCAAAATGTGGCAAATTTACTGGACGGATGTAGTCCAGGAAATGGCAATCATGTAGTTACGTGCCCCTCTTTAATTTCGAGTAAAGAATGGGGTTTTTTTATCATTAAAAAATGGCCTTTTAAACCTAAAGCACACTTCTCTCAATAAGCCATTTGCGAGTGACCTACATGCATACCCTTTCAGATTTAAATTTGAAAAACATCTGGTACCCTGACTTCACTTGCTCAGAATGCTTGGCACATTTTAACTTTGAATTCTCCAGACCAAAGACACTGTTGCTAATCACAGTGTTCCCACGGTCAGGATTCGAACCCGTGGTACACGGGTTCGAATCCTGACCGTGGGAACATGGTGCTTGTGCTCTTGAGCAAGGCACTTTACCACTATTGCTTCGTCCTTCGGATGGGACGCAAAGCCGTAGGTCCCGTGTGTTGTGTAATGCACGTTAAAGAACCCAGTAACACTTGTCGCTAAGAGAAGGGGTTCGCCCCGGTGTTTCTGGCAGTGGCCGCAGCACCTTGTAAACCGTGGTGCCACATAATGGGTCTCATATCTCTCATGTACTTCATTCATCTAATAATAGACATAACTCCCAGTACCTTGAGTACCTCAGTACTCCGTTGCGATAATGCCTGAATAGGTTTCTGCAACGTAGCCATACAGACACAGATACAGATACATGATTCGGGGCAAGCTCTTGCATAGTTACGTAAGAGACGCTCAGCACCAATACATTGTTCACAATGGGTGAGAATGGCACAAAGACACCAGACCATGCCGGAGCTGGGGGTTGCCCCGAATCACGTGATATAGTAACAGTCTCTTTAGTTGGGAGAATGCAAAGTTAAAATGTGCAAAGCATTGGATTAAGTCAGCGTTCCAGATTTTATTCAAATTTAACTCGCAAATGGCTTATTCTAATGACCCCCTTTTTTTGTAATTTTGAACAGTTTCTTGGGGTAGAAATTACGGTTTTCATGCGCGATTTACCATTTGTGGCAGCACACCTTGCTCGTTCACGGTACATCGCAGTGTTCGCCATCGTGATTAATTTTCGTGTTCACCAGTTGTTCACAACAGCGAATAGTCAATAGCCAAAAGTGGCATCAGGTTGCAACATTTTGTCCCTACATTCTTTCCCGCATGCCACTAGGGCCTATAATATTTTGCACATTCAATTTGGACCTGTTCACTTTTCAAACCAAATGTGTCAGGGTGTGTCGGAAATAAACGTCTACTCATGCACAACGCTTCCGCAATATTCCAGATTCCTCGACTCGAGGCTCGAGCTTGACAACTTACCAATCAGAAAGTTCAAACTCTTTCAATACCATCATCATCAAATTATTTAATTCTGTTAACGTTGTTTTCCAAATCTGCCCTCATTAACAGAAATTTACAGGACACGTCCAGACGTCCGATTACACACGTGCACGCGAGCAATCTGGAGATTTAACCTTTATAGGGCGCCCTCAATATGCCAAGGAAGACGTGGAAGAGGACTTCGGTGTGGATGAGGATTGAAACTTTGTTTTCTAACTTATACGTTCTCAGAATCTCAGAAACTTGACTGGATATCGCCGCTAGGCATCATCATCCAGTTGTAGTTATGATTTTAAATAATAACTTTTGTTCCTTTTTATGAAGTAAACGATAATTCATACATGTGAATAAACCATAGACCCCACTAATTCTTGCCAATAATAAGAAATAAGATGAAGTCCGGGGGGGGGGGAGGGGACTGATGAATGGGATGAGAACATTTTGCGAAGAATACACGCAAGCATTATGGTGACTTCAGTCCCGCCCCGAGTGCTTAAGATGAAAAAAAAAAAGGCAATTGCGCTGTCACATAACTTTTTGAGCCAAACATAACCTCAACTCTAGCTTTCAAAGGCCTAGTATCCAAACCGAGGGTTCAGTGCAGGAATGTGCGCGAGAATATCGATCCTAAAATACATTAGCACTTCCCCAAGGGGGTGGTTCAACACGGTGGTGGCTAACCCTCACCTCTCCACCAAACACCCTCCACCGACCGATCAATAATAATTACGGGGTCCGCTCATAAGTCCGACACCTCATAGCTCCGACGCCTCGTAGGTCCGACAATTAAATCTACTTTCATTTCTGTCCATAAGTCCGACGCCTCTAAATCTGACGCCTCAGCTCATACTAGTCCGAAATTTAATATAGCTCTATGGAAATTTCAGACTTATGAGGCGTCCGACTTTGAGGCGTCGGACTGATACAGCCCCAATTATTACTTACATACTAGTTAAATAGGGAAAATCTCTAAGCTCCTTAACTCCCCTGAATAACGTCATCATCAGCATTGAAAAAGTTTGGTTCATAAGATCCCCGACCTCCGCACCACCCGGTACCCACCGCTTGAAACATCTGACTCCACTTCACAACACCCCCAGCATCCCACTTTGGAAAACAATCTTAACGAAAACAAGACTGCTGCTTCGGCTTCGCTGGTGCCGAATCACTGCGCTAAAAACAGGCGATGGAAGATCAAATGAAGTAGCATTCCCATCCCAAGACTTTCTGCTCCGCCCTTATGAAAATCCTCACGATTGTCATCGATACTCCTATAGAGTTTTTTTCAGTGACAAAAATGTGCCTCTATATTCTCATCCTCTTTGAGATGCTTTTGCAAGAACACGCAAAGACGGGATGACTGACGTTCTTTTCACTGAAAACATCTTATTAATCTTATTAAACAAGTAATGGTAATGTTGTGCCCATTCTTGAAAATCACGCATTCTCGAGAATGGGCATGCACATTCTCGAGAATGGGCGCGCATTCTAAAGAATGAGCGCCCATTCTTAAGAACGAGCACGCGTTCTTAAGAATGAGCGCTCATTCTTAAGATTGGGTGGGAATATCACGTGCACAATTTATGAATTTTGCCCAATCTTAACAAACATTGCACGACATAATTATGTTAAATGAATTGTATAGCGGTTAAAAGGGAAACAATTCATATAAAGAGGAAAGAAAATGTGCTATGCTTCTGTACTCGTATAACTACGATAATTTGAATCAAATTAAACCTGTTATTATTGCTTTTTTTCTGCCCACTATGGGAAGTTTTGTAATAACGGAGGACTGGGAACTAGTCTGGGAAGTGCTTTGTTTAGGCTAGACAAGTTACAAGTCCCTGCATGTATCATATACGTGCCACGAAAAAAAAACGATGTCCAGAAGCTGCCAAAATTGCTCTTTTGAAGAATCCAGCTCTGCGACGTTATGGTGGGATGTGAACAATAAATTGGTGGCAATTTAAATGGGAAATAGCATTAGCACTATGGGATGTCGCAGTATTCATTCTCATTCTTCACATTCTTCATTCTTACGTCCCCCCCCCCCCGCTTTTATTATCCCAAAAATCAGAATTCTTTGCACTAGTATTATTATGTCTCTTATATTTTCCCGCCCCCCCCCATATTAATACGCCTTTACTTATCATATCCACTCTACTTTTCAGCGCCTTGCGTTGCAACAGTATAATTATTGAGAATCAGTGAACGAGGATTCAGCTAGACTTGCCAAGCGCAGCCGGTGCTCGGCATCGACAAGACCGTTATCTTGTCGCGCATTCTCGAGAATGTGCGCTCAATCTGGAAGAGTTATTTTTTGCCAAGATTGAGCAAGGATCCAGTTGCACATTCTCAAGAATGTGCATGCCCATTCTCGAGAATGCGTGATTTTCAAGAATGGGCACAACAGTAATACTGATGCTGGCTCTACAATAGGCAAACATACTCTAGCCCTATTGTGGATAAACTTACGAAATTATCATAATTAGGTGTAATTGCTGAATGCCCTCAAATCCACCAGATTTTTCCCACTGAGAGAAATCGACAACTGTACAATTACTTTCTCTTGGATGAATGTTCAAGCATCAGCTCATTGAAGATAAAATTGCGATGCTCATGAAACAGCAGTTTATTGAACATAGCATATTGCATTTTTTTTTTTAAAGGATAACAGAGCGGTTACTGCCAGACGGAGTGTATGTTTTAGTTTTGCCGGGGGCGGTGGGGGGGGGGGGGGATCTCTCAAGTAAAAAACGGGCTTTAAAATTCTGGTCACTGCTGGAGGGCGGGGGGGGGGGGGGCGGCAGGCCGCCCCCTCCGCATACGTTCGGGTCTTTTCAATCAATCGAACCATCATCATAATGCATACAAAAAAAAACTCTGGGAGTCAATTAAGAAGCTCATGTTAATAAAAATTACAACTAACCTTTTTAATCAGAGTTGTAAATGACTGGAGTCAATGACTCGACTCGAGTCCCACTCGAGTCACAATTTTTGGTGACTCGACTCGACTCGAGTCCCTAAGGGCAAATGACTCGACTCGACTCGAGTCACTGCGAGCAAATGACTCGAGTCGACTCGACTCGAGTCCCTCATCAGAATGACTCGACTCGACTCGACTCGAGGAAGGTTAATAAGACTTGAGTCCCCAAAATAAAAGCAAAACTTTGCGAAAAATATTTGCTATGACTTACGCCGGTGCCGTTTTTGTACGCGTCACGTTAGCATGCGAATACATGCCTATAGCCCTACGTAGTTTAATCAGTGTACCCATTAGTTGAATGGCGATCAGCTGGCACCCCCTTTTTATTTTCATTAAGAGTCAAAGAAGTAGCCCAAATGTAAAATTTCAACAGCCAGAAAATGACTTTCTGCTCTCTTGAACACTATACAATATATAGTGTTCAAATATTTGTGACTCGAATTCCCTCGAGCTAAATACTCGACTCGACTCGACTACGGTGACTCGACTCGACCTTCTTGACCTAATGACTCGACTCGACTTGAATCACTTCTTTAAAATGATTCGACTCGACACGAGTCACAAAAATCAGTGACTCGTTACAAATCTGCCATTGAGTTTAATACAGAGTGAGTCAAAAAAGCGGAACCCAAACCCCATAAAATATGTTTCAGATTTAGATAGGCCTATGTAGCACCAACATAATAATGCCTGGACAGCCAGTGTCATAAGCTACTTTTAGATGAAGAAAATTACTGAAATTGCTCAATCCGTTAAAAGAATATCACCATTTAAACACAATGACCCTAAAACCTGTCTCGTCCAAAAAGTAATTCATTGTGTGTTTTGACTGTGTGGAACAACAAAGAAAATGACAAAGAATACTTGTTTCAACAACTGTCACCCAAAACTGTAGTACACAATATCTTTATTAACAAAAAACGTTATGATTTATAAAATGTACTTTTTTTTTTAAAGGACAGGCCTTCAAAGGGATTTCCGTTGAATATTTATCGTTGGTATAATGTTTGAAGACAAGAATTGAATTCGCATTTTTTTTTTTAGGACGAGACAGGTTTTAGGGTCATTGTTTTGAAATGGTGATATTTTCTGAACGGATCGACCAATTTCCGTCATTTTTTTCCTCTAAAAGTACCTTATGAAATTGGCTTTCCAGTCATTATTATTTCTGGTGCTACATATTTAAAAAAAAAAATTAAATATAATTTTGGGAGTTTGGGTTCCGCTTTTTTTACGCTCAAACTTTATGAGTCCTCTTACAATTATTTTAAACGATCGAAACCGTCAAAGTGTTCAAAATATACGTATACGAGTAAAGTAGGTTTTGAAAAAAAAATGTTACAATGAAGTATCCGACTACATGCAGTTTCATAAAGTTGGTTTTTGAGCATGATTTAATGGAATTAATTGTCTCGCATAAAATTAAGGCCCCCGGCGGCGAAGTCTTTGACAAACGTTTTAATTTTTTGCTTTTAAGCGTAATAAAAAAAGCCTTTTCCGGTCAGTGAACGCTATAGTTTCTAATTTATAACAAATTGCAAATTCATCCTGTCGGTATAAGAAATGGGGTTAAAATATAATAAAATATTAATAAAAGATTCAACCACAACAATGCATTGCGCCCTCGCTCCAAACCGCAAGCCTAAACAGCAGTGACCGAGTGAGGCGACATAGCGGCGCTCCGTTATTTTACGCGTAAGCCCCGATCTGCTGTTGTGTATTTTCTCCCCCTGCCTCAGAAGTTGCCCAATATGGCTGCCAATTCGTAAACCCCGTGTGCATGAGGAAGTCACTTTGGAATTTATAACTGGATTTCTTTACGCCGTGGCGGCGATGTTTTTAGTAAATTACAGCCGACTGGCGGTAGTGGAACCTCCCTGATCTTGCTCGCTGGTTGCAAACTAGCGGCATAAATCTCTGCGTTATGCCGCTACAACAAAAGGAAAAACGGTGGGTATTTTTTTTTCTCACGAGTGTTGACCAGTGCAGTGCTATGTCAGTGCAGTGTACGCGTACGCAGACATACACATGACATACGGTCCCATGCATTGTGCAGGTCCAGGGTGGCCAGACCTTGTGAATGCCCAAACAAAATGCATGTAATAGCTGTTACGTAATCTGTCTGGGCTGGTGTCTGGCTGGCCACA